CAAAACGCCTGCCATTTGTTATAAATAAATAAATAAATATTCCTGATTATATTGCGTTGATGATGTCTAAAATTTTTTGTTATATGTTTGACTTGGTGAATTAATCTGTAACCCTATTTCAAGTTTTTTCTACCTCCACAATGATACTTTTTAGAGAAAGCGACATAGATAACCCAAGCGATTCTATCTATAATGCACATTGATGGCTTCAACAAGAGGAATTTAGCCATTAATAATGAAATCACCCAGTTCTAGATAAAGTGGTCATTTTATTTTTACATTTTCATTGCCTTTTGCATTTGTTATGTACCCATAATTGTGTAATATAAAGTTAGCAAGTTATTTACTCAAATGCGCTGATCAAAGTGTTATAAATGATACATCCTCATGCCGATCATTGCTGACTCAATTATAGATATTGGAATTCACTGATTTAATTTAATTTAGCCATTATCTCTGTGTAAGTGCCTTTTATAGCTGACTTTTCTCAAACGGATTATGTAATTTTCTGATGCCATCATTATTGAAGAGTGCTAAATTGAAAAGATATGCGGCTTATTTTGATATCACATAGGGTAAATTCAAGTAAATATTGATCTTTTCTATTATTTATCCCCCTATCATAATCCAATACCTATTTGAATTGGTTGACTAGTTAGTGGACTCTGAATATGGTGAATAAAATAACTAGAATTTTAACGTTAAAGTCAGAAATTTAGTATTTTGAGAATGAGTAAATCATAAACTCTTTGCTGCCTCTTAATCTTGTCTTGCCGATAACCCTCTTTCTAATGGAGTACCTAACTGATATACAAAATATAAACTTGATTAATGTTCATCTAAGTTCCAAATATTACAACAAAGATTATACAAAATTCCAAGAATATATGGAAGAGATATACAGCTTAGGACAGAGCACTAAGCAACATCATTATCTATGTAAGTCAAGTGAATATTAAGAGCTAAATCAATTTAGGATATCGCTTATGGGAAAGAAGTCTTTAAAGTTATTTCTGTCACTTGTTTAAAATTCTATCTTGGTATTTGAAGCGTTTGATATTTCTACTGAGTGATTTGTTGACACGCATAGTAAATATACTTTCCAAGAGAAATCCATGAACTCCAAACGAGTACTTATTTCCTCTTCAATGTGATAGCAAGAGGTTCATTAATTCGGAACAAATAAATTGTCAAAAGAACCTTTTAGGTTGGACTTATTCAATACCCCAATCAATTCCAAGTTAAAATCCGGAACTATATTTCTTTTTGATAGCTGAGCCTTTGAATCTTAAGCATTACCAGTATTCAGTGTGATTTTAAAGCTCACTCTTCAACTGCATTTTTCCATTCTGTTTAATGAACTTTTAAATCCCTTTGAATTCATTTACCTCAGAGGATCGCATGACTTTTCCAGACATTTAAAAATTGGCGCCGAAAAGACGAGTCTAAATTTGGTTGATTATTTTTGCGAATTAAGGAATTGCACAACAATTTGACAAATTTTATTTTGATTATTTAATGCAAGAGGAGTTCGCTTTTAACACTTTACTGATTAAGTTTAATTAATGAAGGCTTTTAAGGTAATATTTTAAAAAAATGAAACTTATTGTCCTCTAGCAATCAAATTTCATTAAAACTTAACTAATTTTACACCCTTCGGACTATTTTGTCGCCAAAATAATTTTCATCGAATTTTACAATTTTATAAATTAAGTCATATCATAATTAAAGTAGGTTACAAGTAGTTATATAATTAAGAGGTTCGACAAAGGTATTTTCCTTTCTATAAATATTTTTTCAACAAACGGGGGGCGAAAACAGAATTTCATTATTGCCGTTTGTGAGTTTTTCTATACCCGTTTGAGAAGTACTCCTTGCCAGGAGTGTTCTTGGTCAGTCCGAGACCCAGAAGAAAACGCTTTTGCAGTCGGACGTAGTCATCTTCTAAGTCGTCGAGATCATAGTCGTATGTGTCAACAGCAGGGTAGAGATTCCAGTGACGGAAGGCTCTGGCTGTGGATAGGGAGAGCATCACTGCCAGTGCCAAGAAAAGTGGTCGGAGAGATTGCATCTGGGAAGGAAAAATTTTGAGAATAATTTAAGGGCATTACGAGGGCGTACTGATAGAATCTATATTAATGTACAAAACATATTTTTTTCCATTTGCAAAAAACTATATCTGCAATAATCATTCTGATTTCTAAATCGCGTAAATATTCATAAATAGCTAAAATAATTAATCCTTAATGTGATAGCTTAAAAAGTGTTTACTGACCAGATTGATTTTTGAATTGTTAAATAGGTACCTTGAAGAATCAAATGATAATACGGTAAATTTTGCCCACCTTTTTTTCTGTAGTGTAAGATTTTTCCTTAACAGTTGAGAACAGAATTTATACTAAATAATTTCAAAGTTGGCCAATAATTGTTTGACTAGTTGTTCAACCAATGAAAAACTGGCTGAAGTAATCTCATTAAAAGCTGACCAAAAGGTAAACAATAAATGCAAATATCCAATATAATTAATTTTCGGAAGAAAAGATGAAAAAAATAAGTGTAATAGGTAACAAAACTTGGGTATGCATAACTTTTATTATTGCTTTTGCTTAAATTAGTAGAGTTTAATGTATGAAAACTAGAGTTCAAAAATGATATTGAATCCACCTTGATCTCAATTTGAAAGCACTTAATCATTTTTAATTTGAGTTCATAAGGAAACAGTTTTAGCCCGCTTTCAAGGAATTTTGGGTAAGCAGGTTATTAGATGAAAATGTATGCATTCCATTGTAATGCATATTATTCATATTTAAAACCTACGGGTGGATTTCCTACTAATCTCATAATAACTGCCGTTTGGCCCATTCAAATCAATTTTGGTGAAAATTTTCAGTGAACTTAATGTAAAAATTTGAAATAAATGAGTTACTTTTACAGAGGTTACAGCATATTATTTTCCATTTTTATCTTTATTAGTAAATAATTCAAACCACATAAATTTGAATGTACGAAAGCAATCTAAAGGATTTTGAATAATCTATATTTTTCAACAAACAGTAAGTACCACTATTGATTCAGTCTTCAAGAAGGTTAGAAATATGTTTTCTTTATGCCCAAAATTATCAAAAAGTGATTTATCGATTTTAAGAATTTAAAATCGTCCAATATCAGAGGAGCGAACAGGCTGTTTTATGAGACTCTTTCGTGGAAAATCAATGCTTCATTTAGCTCCACTTCATTTTATTCTTGATACAGTCAACAGTCGACATTTGTCAATCACGAACCATCATTAAAATTCATGATTCATCATCTGGATCAGTGACTAAGTCCTGTTCAGTGTTTATTGATAAATTCTTCTGCATCGAAGTTAGTCATGAAATTCGAATTCCCCTTTCAAGACTTTAGAATTAGTTTTTTGCAACCAGTGGGCTTTCTTCAATAATTTGCTAGTTCTCTATCATATTTCACAATTTTCATCAACGTTGGGATGGTTTCATGTCTACAATCAACAGTGCTTGTTCACGATGGTTTCTCATGCAACTTCAAATTTATAGCGTTTCATGAAAATCCGTCAATATTTTGCTTATGATTTTTAAGGAAAAAGGAAAAGGGAAGAAATTGATGTCTAATCTAATTAAAAGAGGATTTGAAAACTTATTAGAAATAAAAGATTTGTTGGTGCTTATCTTAATGGGGAATTAAACCTACTAGCGCAACTTTCCTATTTCTAATGATTTCAAACGCATTATCAGTGTGAAATAATTCGGTTGTCGGAATATCAACTGAAGCTTACACAAAATGATTTATTTTTTATGAATGTATTAATCTTGAAATGAATTGTTTCTAAAATATAAGCATACTTGAATTGCCTTTAATTAGGGAGTGATAAAACCTTACAGGAGCCACCGTCTTTATATTGTGCGTACGTATCATCCTATTAATAACAATTTAGAAGAGATCTTGAACTAAATTTAGTAAAATTTTCTTCCTAAATGAGAAGAACTGATTAACCTATTTAATAAAATAGTCCAATGTGTGCGCAGTTCAAGGGGTATTTTAAACATTACTTTTAAGAGAAAAGAGGTTTTTTTGTCATTTCAAGCTAACTAAAGAGAGTTTATTGTCGACAAGTTCAATTTAATTTAATAGGACGCAGTTAGCACGGGTGGCTACCACATACTCTAAGTCAGATTTCTTGTTTTATATAGTTCTTCTTAATTTTTTGAATAAAAGCCGATGTGTTTCTGCAATTTATTTATCCATTTTTTTAGAAAATACTTGTGTGTAGACATTGACCTCTAATCAATGAGATATCAAAACATCTACAAAAAAATATTTTTCCTGTCATCTTTAGGCACCTACATCAGGTTTTTTAATATGGAGATATAGAATGGCCGAATTTATGGATGTTTGTTCAATGACTTAGTTGGAACATATGCAGTCGCATAGTATTGAGATTCTCTGAGTTAATAAGCATTTATATGAGCCGTCACTGACTAAAAACTGTGCTTATGTGTGTAAGTAATTTCCCAACCCATAGAAAAACAAAGCTGGCTTACAATTAATGAGATAACTTAGATAAAAAGAGCGCTTGTGCGATAGGGACGCATTGACTACATTTGCCTAATAAAAGCGAAGGGGTAAACAGTCTGTGGAAAACATTTTTCCAAGCGAATTTGCAGTTCAAAGGAAGTATTAATTGGGAAACCGAAATGAATACTAATAATTTCGTTTGATCCGACAAGTAGACAATTGTCACATGCGTTATGTTATACCTGGAGCTCTCCATTAATTGTTCAAAATCAATAAATCTAGCAAATATGGTAAAATCATTGATAATTTTGTTATTTCTTCGAAATCTTTATTTTATTCAAGTTGTTCATATGTAAATTGTAGGTAGTAGCTTTATAACTATGCCAACATTTATATTTACAGGGTTTTAAGTTTTAATTTGTTTTGAGAAAATACTGTATGACTCCATTTTTTATAATTGAATTAAATTAATGAAAAACCTGTAATAAACGTAGCCATCAAATTGTAATATTAGCAATGAACAAATAATATTAGTTCAAAAAGGTTAACTCATTGCAGTTGACTTGCATCAACGAGTATTTTTAATGCTCCTTAAGATTTATTTTTCAGCAAAATTGGAAATTCAATCAAAGCAGTCCAACAGAGCAAACTCTTATCCACCTTATCCAATGTACCCTTTAATTTCTCCCCTGTCTAGGTCAACAAAATATGCGTCGTTTGATTTCATACGGCTTGTGTCCAACTGATTTATTTCCCTGCCCACCTCAATTCAGCTGATAAAATTAAAGGTTTGCTAAATTTATTTCCCTCCTGTAAATTATATTCATGCGAAATTAATACTGGAGATTATTTATTCCCTTTATTTATGCCTCTAATCCCTCATTTTTCCAAATAACTTAGAAATACTTATATCAGTGTGGATTTTTCTGCGTTTTATTTGTTTTTCAGCCAATTTTCATGTAAATAATTGTGTAATATAAGCAGGCTTTAATAACATTTTTTGTGTTTCTTATAATGCTTAGAAGAAGGAAGAAATCAGTCGAATTTCGGTGTCCCAAGCGTCATTAGATTGTGACTTTGGAAAACAGAAAATTTACTTAATCAATTGTTCCTTACTTTGCCTTCAAATTGTCTGACTTATTTATTCATTAAAAAATTATTGATCGAACCCATAGCATGTTTTTCAGAGCTTAGTGATTGGTTTCTTAATTTGTCGCTAGTGAAAAGAATTTTCAAAACCACTTCCGAAGATTCACAAATTGAATGGCAATACTACTTCAAAAGACTGAAATAAAAGAGGGATAGGAAAGTTTCGATTTTGAAAATATGCAACTTGGCGTGAGCTGAAGCTTCGGGTTGCCAGTTATTTTGGATCATTAAAGAGCTAAATTGCAGTGCACTTGAAGATGTTTGCAGACTTGAAAGAAATTCCAGATTCGTTTGTATAATTGGTTAAACTTAGTTTGAAAACCTATTACTGTTTAGTTTTTAAGGAAAAGGAAGATCCATTGGCCAATTACATTAAATAGGAGACTCTCACACCTAGTTAGCTACAAAACTGTCAGATGTTATGTGTCACTTATAAGAATTTAATAAGAAGAAAAATCCTTTTATGTAGTCTTGAGCTTTGATCACTCCTCTAATAAAAATAATCGTCAACACCATTATAAATTTTAATGTCAAACCCCATGAAAATATTTCGAAATCTTAAGATAATTTTCAACAAGACGTTAGTGAATAAAATGCAAAGAGGCAATTTAATAGCTAGGATAAGAAGTTTCAACTTTGTACCCCACTGAAGTTGAGAAGCAATTAAAGGAGCTAGCACTTAGCTTCAACTTCTGTCAGTTGTATTTCACACATCATGAGAATATGTCTCCAAACCCCCGCTCATTAATATCGCACACAAAGAACGCCACTCAAACGAAGTTGTCTTGAGAAGATGCTGTGGTAATGGCACTGCTTGCCGCATTAAAGCAGGATTATATTGTTCGAAACATTAGCCCTTTAGATGACTTCAGGTTTCACAGAGGGAGAGGAGCATCAAATCGAAAAAAGATCGAGAGGGGAGGGGGGACAGAAGAGTGTTTTAGAGATGTAAAAGAGATAGACACTAAGGTAAATGAAAGTTGAGGTGAGTACTGTGGAAGTAGTCGAATATGACATACAGTGGGGTGGGGGTAGTTTGAAGTGAGAAGTCAACTGCCGGTTAATAGACTTTTTTGACGTATGAGTATACGTTGCCCAGGGTGCACCAAGTGGAGGTAAGTCTATTGCACACCCCACATCCTGTATAATTGAAAGCTATATACCAATCACCCTCTTCAAATCGGAAATTAACGATCCAAATTCAAGTTGGAACTGTTCTTTTTGACAATAAAGACTACTTTGTTATAATCTTCATTCAACCAAAAATGACTTTCATTTTTTAATTATGAGAAAAAATACGATTTACGAAAATCGCAATAGTCCAATGGGAAGTGAATGTGAAAGTGTTCAGTTATGAAGCGATCACAGTTGGAGCATCAAACTAGACTCCTT